TGCCAACTCCCAGCCCCGTAGTTCAAACTTGGCAAAAAAAAATCGATAAAATGATAAAAGTAATGGGCATTTTTGGAAATGGTTATTCATATTCGTAATCAGCATGTTCGCTTACCCCCCCCCCTGTGCCAACTCTCAGCGCCGTAGCTCGAACTTTGCAAAAAAATCGATAAAATGATAAAAGTAATTGATAATTCTAAAAACTAATATTGTATTCGTAATCAGCATGTTCGCTCACCCACCTGTGCCAACTCTCAGGCCGTAGCTCGAACTTTGCAAAAAAATCGATAAAATGATAAAAGTAATTGATAATTCTAAAAACTAATATTGTATTCGTAATCAGCATGTTCGCTCACCCCCCTGTGCCAACTCCCAGCCCCGTAGTTCAAACTTTGCAAAAAAAATCGATAAAATGATAAAAGTAATGGGCATTTTTGGAAATGGTTATTCATATTCGTAATCAGCATGTTCGCTTACCCCCCCCCCTGTGCCAACTCTCAGCGCCGTAGCTCGAACTTTGCAAAAAAATCGATAAAATGATAAAAGTAATTGATAATTCTAAAAACTAATATTGTATTCGTAATCAGCATGTTCGCTCACCCCCCTGTGCCAACTCTCAGGCCGTAGCTCGAACTTTGCAAAAAAATCGATAAAATGATAAAAGTAATTGATAATTCTAAAAACTAATATTGTATTCGTAATCAGCATGTTCGCTCACCCCCCTGTGCCAACTCCCAGCCCCGTAGTTCAAAATTTGCAAAAAATCGATAAAATGATAAAAGTAATGGGCATTTTTGAAAATGGTTATCATATTGGTAATCAGCATGCTCGATTACCCCCTGTGCCAACTCCGAGACTCATAGTTCAAAACTTGCAAGCAATCGTAAATTTGGTAGAAGTAGTAACAAGTTTCCATACTGGAAAATGACAGACACGAAAACACCATCGACCAAAAAAACATCATCGAGGACGTACAGACAGCATCCACCAGCGTACAGACAAGTACACCATCCGGTTCTATATATATAGAAGGATCACCGCGCCTCATATATGGATCATAAAGAAAGTTCCCTCAAGCAGGCTCATTTTTTATAGCTGCAAACTTTGCTGCAAAGGCAATGTTGTCTACAAAATATGCTTATTTTATTGGGTCCTTAGCACTTCATTTCAGGCCACCAGCATGCGCTGTGGAGAGAAAGGTCGATTTGAAATTGGGCTTGTCAATGCAGAAATCTCTTAGGCACGAAAGAAGCTGGAGGCACGCGGAAGGTGACAATGCGCGCAAAATGCAAGCAGTGTAAAATCACTCTTACTTTTACTTTACCTATGGCATCGAGTCATGTGTCTGTTCGCAACTCTCACCCCCTACCTTGGCGCCGTGTCACTTTAGCAACGAAGAGTTTTGAAAGGCACAAAATTTGGGAATTGTCGCCTTCCGCATCACACCCAAGGAGCTGCAGAACTCATATCCGGTAATTATGGAGAACTCTGCTGGGGCTGTTTGTAAACTGTGTCATGATTTTAAAAGACAGCCTGTGAAAAAAATTTCTCGAAAAAATTGAAAACTGGCCATTTTTGCATCTTGGAAATGACCCATTTTTTGAGCAAATGACCATAAAGCCTTCCTTTCTTCCACGGAATGAATCAAATTTTTGGTTGCTGTGATTACTGTTGGGGTTATGTCTTGCACATGTTTTGGACCCATCACCGAGGGTGACGATCCTTACATTCAACGCCAACTGCGAAAAAGAGTGCGGTCAAAGGCAAGTATGAGAGTTTGTAATTTTGTGCGCGTATCTTAAAGGCAGCGTCCAGCCAGATCTGGACCTATGGGGTTTTGTGGAAAGTAATTTTGGGGTTCTAAATAAGGCACTGCCCAAACGGCAGCGCAGTGACTCTTTAACGGTTGAGATATACGCCCCAAACTGGACCCCAGGATCGTATTCGCATGGTTTCATGACAGTTTTGCGCGAGGACCAACGCGTTGCACCATGAATGCATGCAAAAAAACGATCCCGGAGTCTAGTTTCGAGGGGAATATCTCAGCCGATAGAGCAATACCTGAGCTGCCGGTTGGGCAGTGGCTTAGTGAGGGCCCTAAAATTACTATTCACGTGAGATCCCCATGTGTCCAGACTTGCCTGGACGCTGCCTTCAATATCCGAACACAGCTGCGGTTTTGAAGTGAACCCCTCCTTATTCAGACTGACCAACCCTTGAATGGTTTTCTTCGTTCACTATAAAAAAAACGACAACAAAAAGAATAATTTTAAAATTTTCGTTGTGGCACAGACTTCTTTTATTGGCGTGTAGATCGAATACGGTTTGATATCGATAAAATCTCGATGCGAGTTTGGAAAGCTTAGCCTTTTTTCTACAGAATTATGTAAAATATTTGTTGTTAGAGCTTGCGAGTGCGAAAAAAATGAGTTCGAAAATGAAATTTTCAAAGCTGCCCGGTAACTTTCTTTACAACCTAATAATAATTATAGTATATCTATTATAGATTACCCCAAAACTCATACAGCTTCTGCCTTCGATCAGGCGAATAGCAGAACTCGATGCGGCAGTCGAATCGTTTGGAACAGTTCGTAATCCAACCTTCAGTGATTCTTCCAATAGATGTTTCTGATTTATCTTTTCAAAGAACAATAGTACAGGAACAGTAATAGTACAGTACCCTAGACTCAAACGTGCGAAACGTGGCATGTAAACGCAATGTCCGTGTAGGCACTCCTAACATTATTATTGGAGCTTGTAAATGTATCGTCCTTTTCACAGTCAGTGCTACCTTTGCTCTGCGTCGCCAATCTATGATACACATAGCTAGCATGTTTGCAACAATAGCAGTTTGTTTTCAACTGCAACCAGTCGGCAGAACGTGCACGACGACGTGCAACAACACGTTGGTAGAGCGCTTATATAATGGTTCCCAAACCGACACGAAAAACAGGTCACCAACATGTTTGCCTGGCGTGCTCCAATCCAGAGAGAAACAAAGGCAGCAGTAACGGAGATTCTTTACTCGTACAGCGAGTTAGATTGGTTTAATATAAAATTTCAAAATACCACATCACTTTTTTGTAGAAAAGCGAAGGAAGTGGTAGCATGAAAACGCAGCTAAATTCTTAGAAAATAGGGACAAATAAAAGAGCTTGAGCCCAGGGGATACGCCAGCAGCCCCCCAGTAAAAGTGTCACCTGCGAAGCCATAAATTTTGGAAGCAGAAAAGCTTGAAAGAGCCCTTTCATTCTTCCAATTACACAAACCAGTGAGCCATGAATGCTTTTGTATTAGGTTGATGCAAAAGCAATGGCCGATTTTTCAAGCCTTTTTTCAGGACAACTTTTTTCCATCAATACTTCTTCTTTACAATAGATGTAATATACCTTCGCGAAGCCGTTTTTATGCTATATCTAACGGTGCCTGAAATGAGCTGTCATCCTCATCTCTTATAAAATTACTGAGCTTCAAATAACCGCTCCAAATTCAGAATTTCATTGCATTCACTTTTCCGGCCAGAATTTAAGCGCGTATCAATGGGATTTCTTCGAAAATTTAGCTATTGTATGTAATAGAAATTTCTACATTATGCATACTTAATTGTATTTTTGAAGTTATCCAGACTGAGATATCGGCGCCTAAACATGAGTTGCTCTTGCAGTCATTTTATGACCCATGATCTTCTTCTGAGGAAGTCCGTCGCCGAAGCTTTGCTCAATTTTGTAAGCGTAGGGCTAAGACATTTATTAGCAGTTTTTGCAAAAACATCCATCTCTTCAGTATGTAGAAAATCAGAAAATTCTATATTTTGGACTTTGAGGCACACTGAAAAAATGTTGAAAAAAATTGAGAAATTTTAAATTTCAGTTTTATTCTTTCTCGCAAACTTTTTGTCCGGATTCTATTTATTGAATTTTGTAATAATGGATTGCGGCTACAAGATAGGCCACTTATCATTCATACTAAAAACTTTGAAGGAAGTTATGAATTGTCAAACACAAGGTTTTAGCAGAATAACTTTTTTGTCTTTTAGCCCGTATTTTTCTTCCCGTTCATGGTTTGAGTATAAATAAGTATGCGCTATATTGCGAAAGTTTTGCTGCTTTTGGGGGTTTTTCCCGCATTCGAAAATGCGGATCTTTTAGAAAGTTAGCACGTCAAAGTGAGAACTCGCAAATCGGCCATTGCTTTTGCATCAACCTAATACTACTTGATGCAGCGGTCATCTTCAGATTCTCCATTTAATCCCTATACGATAATCCAATTCATCTCGCTTGGATGTGACAACACACAAACACTATGCTCTCGAAAGTTGCAAGCATTGCAAAGCATACTCAGCGAGATAAAAAGGCCCACAACGGCAGAAACTTATTGGTAGCCGATTTGCCCAAAATTGAGCCTCGCGGTATTGTGCTGCAATATCAGCAGGTCGTTTGCGCGTCTTAAACACTGTTAAAATAGCACATACGGAATTAAAAGACTGAAATCCAACGTTATGTGCATAAGTCAGGTGTAGCAACTCTATTATAGAGTACGTAGCCCTGCAAACACTTGAACACATTGACACTCTTCCCCTCTATTCTGCAGCACCCCTCTGTTTTCAGCCATCTAATACTACCATGCAGTACCCTTTGATTTTAATTGGATAGGCGGCTGGAAAGCAAGTCTTGTGACCTAATTTAGGCTAGATAATGATCAGAGAGCACGCACGCGCAGAAACGCAGACTTCGTCGCGGGCTCGAGCAACCTCAATTAAGTCTCAAAGCTCCGCCTTCCAGAAGCCAAGCCAGTTGAATCAAAGGTTGCATTAGCGACGTCGGCAATGACCCGCCCTCTATACTCATAGGAATTGACTACCATTTTCAGCAGCGGCATTTCGAGTTGATTCGTTGTTAGCAGTAAATTCGGGCTATTTTTAACCTGACATGATTGAATTTATCTTACGCCATCGTACAATACGCGTTAATCAAGCATCCGTCTTCTATGACTAGAAATTTCTAAAGACTTTCTACATGTCTTCTCTCTTTTGGCCTAATCGGATTAATCAATTTCAGCACACATTTCACCTCACTCTGAAAAGAGTCACATTGTTTAAGAACAGCTAAGGAGTCGTTAGTTGTTGCGTACACTGTGTAAAGTAATGAATTACGAAAAAATCGCCTCAACTTGTAGCCATTCACTTTACATTCAACTCAGTAACAAAGCTCCTCTTTTTCATTTGGAGCTTATTCCAAAACTAACCGTGCAAAGTCCAAATTTGTTAACCCAGTGTCTGATTGCCAACTTAGCTAGCTTTCTACCGCTCCATGTTGTCCTGAATAACTTTACGATGGCGTGGAAATGAGTGGTTTGAACGCAACATACCTGATAAGAGCAGCGAACATATTTTGCTCAATCCCAGCTTTAGCATTGACGCCTTTTGTGTATTTATAGGCGTCATATTCTTGGTAACAGTGGTACTCCTAATTTTGAGAAATCTACGCAACAGACTTGCTTTCTTATATCAATATATAAGGTCTGTATTTCACGTAACTGCCTAGTTTTTGTCGATAGTTCATCAGAGCTGATGGTAGGGGCAATGCGTATGCACAATAATAAAAAAATAACCATTGTCAAGTTTTTCCCTCGCAATTTGCACCGTCTTTCAATTGCTCTGTCAAAGAATTCCACCCAATCTTCTAAGAAATATCCTATGTTGCACCTTGTCCATTTATCGGCGAAGACGGGGACGGCCACAAACTAAAATGGCATTTTTTATTCACGAGTCAACTTAAAAAACAACTGCAACTCACAGATATGAAAACGCAGTAAAGCATGCCACGAGAAGCATTCTTACATCCATCAAATGTTTTCATGTACTTAGACATCCTTAGCACTCTGCGAACAAATGCTTATCAAGATAATATCAATTATGCGAACTTTCTGTAACTGTGCAGCAACATATTTGCTGTTTGATATGACAGAATCGTACCAAGGCTGCAGTAGATTTATTAGGTTGGGACATAAGTAATGCAACTTTTTATATATAAATTTTGTCTCTTTGAACTTAGCGCATTCATCTCCTGGCACTATAAGAATTTTTTGTAGGTTTCTAATTCACACATTTTTGCCGAATTTTACTACCTCATGTAAGGATTACGGTGGATTTACGATACTATAGGAAAAATTTTAGAATGCATCAGATTTTGCTGAAACTTGATCTGTAGGGCTTATTCGTTTGCTGATCACAAAAATGAGACGTTTCGCATGAAAAGGCCTCGCTCGTGAGATCAAAAAATGAAGATCATTTCAGCGACAAATGAATATGATGTTCGTGTTCATCGTATAGGATTACCTTAGTTATAGCGAATTTTGACTTTTCGTAGCTTAGTTATTGACAAATTGCCTTCAAAACTTGACGCATTTGACTGTTCAACTTCTCAAAAACGCTCCACCTTGATTTGCTTTTGAGTCTCATTTCTACTTTACTGATTGCAATGTGTCCACTTCTAGCTACATGCTGCCTATACAGGGTGTCCCAAAAAAATGTTAACACTGTTTGATCGCTGATAACTCTCTTGCATTCATGTCTTTTGCCAAGCTTCAGGTGCCGTTCTATAGAGCGAGGTTCACCTTAGATGTATAGTATGAAAGAAATCTCCGATCTCTACTAAGGATAACGGTAGAAACTTATAGAAAGATTTTAGTAAATTAAAAGCGATTTTTGCCTCTGATAGGAAACTAAACAAGGCAGAAACTTTTGTACAGGACTAATTAAAGTTGCTGATTTTGAATATGAAAATTGCTCTTTACTGTAATGCTTCTTTCTTAAGTTATTTCAGGTTTATTGTAACATCTGTTTTTCCAATAGTTGTCAGAAGTGTGATTACACCATTTAAAAGGCTAAAAAAAACTGGTAAAAAATCATGTGGCGAAATCAGCATCCCCAAAGACCTTGCTACACGAATTTTTGGAATTTTTTCATTAAACGGCCTGTTCTACACTGGCTCTATGTGCTGAAATTTTATACAGTAATCTCAAAGTAACCAAGAAAGATCAGAGATTTACTTCATGCTGCAAATTTAAGGTGATCCTCGCTCTACAGAATGGCACCTCAAGCTTGGCGGAAGACATGAATACAAGAGAGTTATTAGCGATCAAACAGTGTTAACATTTTTTTGGGACACCCTGTAGGTTTTTACGTTTGATTCAGGATTCGTAGGGCTTCATGTTTGCCAAAAGACCGTGAAACATTTTTAGCAGTTTATAAAAAATGCTTAGATTTTTTGAACTACGCTATCAAAAATCAAACGGTTTGCGGAGATTTGCAGCTTACATCACGTCTACATGATGCCGCAAAATGAGATTGCTATATAAAATAAGAGAAAAGTTGCGGGAAAAGTTGCAAAACTTGTGTGTCAACCTAATATTATGGCCCATAGTAAAGCTCGATCAGTTTAGGGAACTCAACTTAACCCATCAATTGAGCTTAGGTTAGGTTAGATGACTGTCCACCTTCTGATGCTATAAGCATGGCAAGTGAACTGATAGTTGGCAATCCGTCCACGTGCTGCAGTCAACTGTTCCGCATCCGTTCACGTTGAGTTGAACTGAACGTGAACGGATGCTAGAGGAATGCAAATAGTGTGCAAAGGAGGAGACGCAGACAAGACTTCCATAAGTTGCTCCTGAGTAACTTACGATATACATCAGTCTGCCAAAAAGGCAAACAAAATCGGCGCAAAACTGCACAACCGCGCCCGAAAAGGAGAGGATCGACGAACAGCTGATTTTGGCGAGGAAAAAAAGACAAATTCTTTTTTTTTTGTAAACCTTAATGATTTTTTTCCACTAGCTGTCCAAAACAAGAACTCATTTATTCGTTTCATTAAATTCACGCTGCAACCATTTCGTTTTTTCATTAAAATTTCGTCGCAAGTTTTGTTTTTGTTTTATCCGTGCATTTGCCAGGCGAAATCCTTGATAGCGGTCATCATCGATTGCGAAAGTAGCCGCTATCAAAGATTGCGCGGCGATGCATCAAAAGGTGTGTCGCTAGACGGATTCGAGGCACGGCCGCGCGCGTGCAATTCCAATCGCTTACCATTTGACCAAACCAGCTCAAGTGGTATGTTTTTAAAGAACACACTCGATTATAATGCCTTGGAAGCGATCCGCATCCAGATCAATAGCTTGCCGGATGCTAGACTGAGGCGTGATGGATCAACTCCGGTCCGCGTCGAGAAAGACGCCCTGATAAGGGCGTCTTTCTCGACGCGGACCGGAGTTGATGCCTGCCGGACCCTGTTTACTACGGGCCTATATAAGCTGATAATCTGAGGTGAATATAGAATGGCAATGTAAATACAATGTGTTTGCGTTGTCAAGATTGGGCGAAAAATGTATGTGAACATGTAGATAGCTGCTTCTGTAATGCCGCAGTTTGAGGGAGTCAGCCCCTGCTAATAATTAGCTGTTCACTCGCGATCGTCGCGTGATATCGGCACCGCAAACACTTATCTTCAGGTCCGCAGGCCTTTATACGGCACATCACATGTCCTTACAACCCAACCCATAATTATTCAACTCAAACTTTCAAAACTATACGATTCTAAAGTTGACTTGATCGAAATGCTTCGAATTATATAGCTCACATGATGTCTCTGCAAAAGTAGCACCATTGTGGCTCTTATTGACAACAGAATGTAAAAAGAAGCGTTGTTGATGTTGTATATGGTTTGAGCTTTCCAACGAAACAGTAAGCGCGTTGTAAGCGTCTGAATGGAGTTTAAGTATAGACAAATGACAAGTGCGCAGTTTCAAGGCTCAAGCGCGGGGTTCAAAAAATGTTTCTGCCTTTTTAAGCGCAATTCAATGCACCGGTCGTAACTTTTACGTTTTTTTGTGCGCTAAGCATAATTCTAAAAATAGTGGTTATGTGCAAGTTGCTGTGAGATCCATCATATGTGCTGCTTCATGAACACAACATTGTATGCTGTGTATTTCCGTATTAACGTATGATTAGGACTCATCCCTCTACTTGTTTTTGGCTAAAACATATCTACAAAGTCAGCGATGCAAAAAAGTTATTGAAACATTCAGGTAAGTTTAGTATACATTGATGCAGAGTGAAGTTCGTATAATAACTGTCGTCATCTAATCATTCCTAGGAAGAACTTGTTGCAGCATGCTACATGTCATATTCATTTTTTGGCCTGCAAATTATGTGTTTGTAAGGTGGCGCAGAGTTTGCAAGTTCAATGTTTTTTCTCTTCTAGTAAATATTTCGCGGCTGACAGCTTGAACTTAACCCAAAAACCTTAATATTAAGATGACCTCTAATTGTGTCCCTTTTTTGAATGGCACTTACCCCTCTCTTTGGGAGTGGCGGGTGGAAGGTGGAACTTTGATAGCAAATCATGTTCAGGGAATGACTAGAAAGACGCTTATAAAATTCAAAATATTAGATTACGATTGAAAAGTTGTCTAAAGGAACTTGAAGGTAGTTTGTAGGACTTCTGATTGAGTACTTATTTGAATATTTAAATGGCCCGTCACTTAACATGCCGGCGCCCCAGCACAGAAATCTCTAATTGCCCTTGTCCCTCGCTTTAGACATGCACAATCCCTTTGGTTATTGCGGGAGCTGCAGCCACGAGTTTCAGGTGCAAGAAGCGCAAGAAGCGTATTCAGCTGCTGGCTCAGAGACATCTTGCATTATAAAAATCAATGTTCTAGTGTCCATCTATTTACTTCTGTCATTCTCATAATGTGACCGGCCTATTGATGCCTTGCTTTCGCAACATGTTCCACTGAGTCGCAAAGACGAGACATTCGTTTCATATCGCGCGAACATACGAGGTGAAGTTTGTGTGATCATGTTTAGAAGACTGCGCTCAAGCGCTTGCAGATTGTGCCCAAAGGATGTGGTTGTGGTATCAGCCCGAGCCTCAGCTGCGTGACAGAGAACGACTTCTCGGGTCCGTCAGCTGATCGGTAACTCTTTTCCTGTTTGGCTTTCCCCTCAATTCACTATTCGTTTCATAGAACGTGCAGCACACGCGTAAGACGTCGTTTCTATGATGAGAGGTGGGGGGGGGGCTCATTGCTCTTATTTCATTCTCGTATCTTCGCTAAAAGCGGCTTATGGAATTAAATCTTTTCCATTTGATCAACATACAATAGTTTTCTCTGCCGCGTTTATCTCCTTCAGCAATGTCTGTGCTTCAGTTATACGCTCGAAAAGAAGACGATGTCGTCCGCAAAAAGAAAATAAAAGAAAAATCTTCCATCATCTTGAATCTTTCCCAAGTGATTTCATCGCCCACTGTAAGGGTTGAGCCAGACTTCGCGGGGAAGCGGCGTACGCGGCGTACGCAGCGTACGCTCGGTATATTTCATCATAGGAGCATACGCGGCGTACGCTGCGTACGTCGCGTACGCCGCGCAGTCTGGCCCAATCCTAAGGGTGCGGTGAACAATTTTGACAAAGTAGCGTCGCCTTGCTGGACCTCTTCCTAGGTGGTATGGTAGGAGTAGGAAAATAAACAGCTGCACGCTTGTTGCGCAGCCCTTATAGCAGTCGGCTAATGTCATTACGCAAACGGGGTCCACTCCTTGAACGACTAGTGCTGACAGGATGACGTTGTTTTTGACGCTGTCAAAGGTTTCCGTAAACGACGATACTTAAAACGAGAGGCATTCTTTATTCTCGGCAAAATTCTGCGATTCCCCCAACCGTCTGGCATAATCCAACTTGTTTCGGGGATGGGCTTCATCGAAGGTCCTAAATATACGGCAGAGGATAATCTTCATAATATGCTTCTACGACACACTCGGCAGGCACAATAGAGTAGTTTTATAAGTCCTCCCGTTCGTCATTTGAAAA